CGTTTCTTTCCAATTCGAATTAAATAGAATTAAAAGTACTTACATACATTTTGTATATTGTACAAAAAATATATTTCTAATAGATAAATAGATTTAGATAGAATTGTAAAGTAATTTTTTTAAAGGAACTCCCACCATTTCTAATTTCTTTATTATTCTTATTTATTAATGATCGTTAAATAAATAAATAAACTTTTTAACAATTTTATATAATTGAGCTTTAGTTTTATGTGTTTAAATTTGATTGAAAATAAAAAGAAAAGAAATTCTATTGCACTTGTATTTCATATTTTGTTCATACCTGTCACTGAAATCATATATATATATATATATATATCCTTTTGTCAGCGAGGAACGAATGAAAAATTTTAATAATAAGAAAAAAAATTTGAGGAATAGGCAGTGTCCAAAAAAAAAAAGATACTTTTGATTAATAATCTTTGATTTTAAATGTATATATATTTCATTGTATTTGTTTTTTTTTTCGTTTTCTTTTTTTATATAGAAGTAGGTACATGGACGTACATCACAGCAGAACTCTGAATTGAATAAATATATCTATATGTATATATACATATATATATATATATATATATATATATATATATATACATACACATGAGAATAATTATTTACATATGAAAAAACATCACGAAGCGTTTTAGAAACGACCGTAATCGATAAAACATTTTGTTTTTGTTTTTGTTTTCTTCTTTCTCAGCGCATACGAGAAATTTCCGTAAAATAAATGTCGTGCGCATGTTTCTTTTTTTTTTTCTTTCTTCAACAATAAATAACACGCGCGCTGTAAGATTTAATCGATACATACAGTCGTGTCTATAAAAAAAAAAAGGAAGAAAAAAAAAAAGAAAAAGAAAAAAAAAAGAAAAAAAAAAGAAAAAAGAAGACAAAGAAAATGTCGTTAATGGTAGTAATGAACAAAAAAATTGTTGTCTATTTAAACACAAATATCCATAAAATATCTTCAACTGAACATCCTCGGCGTGTAACAATTGTGCAATTTTTCCCCACAAATTTTTTATACAATTCCATATACACGCTAATATATATATATATATATATATATATATATATATATATATATATATATATATATATATATATATGTATGTATGATCAGAGAATCGATTAAAAATTAATAAATAGATATATTATGTACAATGATATTAAATGCAATTCATTTCTTATTCAAAGTAATTATAATATTATTTATCGATTTAAGAATTCTTTCCTTCTTCTTTTTTTTTTATTTTGTTTGTTTTTATTTAGGCATTCATACAATATAATAATAAGCTCAGCGAAAATCGGCGCAACAAGATCCATTCGTAAAATAACGGGATACACGTATATATACATATATATATATATATATATATATATATATACATATATATATATACATATATACACATATATATATACATATATATATATACACACATATTTATACACAATTCGTATTTATTTATGTTTTTTTTTGTTTTTTTTTTCTCTTTATATATATGTACAAAAATCTTTCATATACGAAATCTTTTATAACGATTGTAAAAAATTTTGTCGGGTAATAAATATGGCTCTGCGAGGATCGATGTATATCATCTGCATAAACGTACATCGAGCGACGCACATTCATCCTATTATAATCAAATTATCACGTCCTTTTCCCTACCTCCGTTTTTCTTTCTTACAAATTCTCAATCGGACTCTATTCGTAGGTATATCATGTATTTATTGACGCAGAAATATTAATAAGTTCGTTAAATTGGCACTAAAGAGATTACGGGATTCGTCTACGACGCGTGTATGTGTGTGTATGTTTTTTTTTTTTTAAATCGCAGACGCGTGCAACGTGTTTACAAGCGTTTTTAATAATTTTTTTTTTTTTTTTAAATTTTCCTCTCTCGAATCTTTTTTTCCCATGAATACCTAAAAAACTTTCGTGTCAAATTGTTTCTCTGTCTACTTCAAATATTCGATTCGTTACATTTTTCTATATCATCAAAAGTACAATTTATGTTTTACATTTTCAAGCCGTAGCAGAGAATGCTCGTTTATTTTCTGTTTTCTTTTTTCTTTTTTTTTTTTTTCTTTTTGCAAAGCCTCTACCTACACGCTTTTATTCGTCTGTAAAATCGTAATATTTTTTTTCTCAATATTCTTTGACTTTTCTTTCCCTTTTTATCGTCTGTTTTCAAACTCCTTTCTTTTTTTTTTTTTTTTTTTTTCATTTTTCTTTTTTCTTCCTCTTTAACTCTTTCATCGTAATCTCGCGCCAAATGTGTCCTTTAACATGAGTCTAATAGAAGAGAGGTACGTGCGGATATAAAAAGAAGCGGATGATTTTTTTTTTCTTTCTTTCTTTCTTTCTTTCTTTTCCTTTTAAAGCGACTTTTAGCATTAGAATAATTAGGAAAGATCAATAGAATTATAGTAGCAGCTTGACAGATGGATGATTTCCGTCACTGGCGATCGATCGATCGATCATTCGTTCGTTCAATCGTTTGTTCAATCGTTCGTTAACGATTCACTCACTTTATCAATCTCATCTCTGAATAAAAATTTGTTGATCGTCGTATCGTTTGTTAATTAAAAACGAAAAAAGAGAGAAAACGAGAGAGAAAGAGAGAGAGAGAGAGAGAAAAAAAAGGAAAAAAAAAAAAAAAAAAAGAACAATAACAATAATCACGCCGAAAGAGATAATTAATCATATTGCCGTATATTGCGTCGTTGAAGTAAAAGCTTGGAGAAAATTATTTATACTTTCGATTAAGAGGACTGATAAAATAATAATCACTAGCTCTTCGTTACATACATTAATCTGTTAAATAAGTATAACGAGGGATGTAATTATTTCCTCTTCTTCATATTTTTTTTTTCTTTCAAGAAAGAATGAGAGAGAGAGAGAGAGAGAGGGAGAGAGAGAGAGAGAAAGAGAGAGAAACGTTAATATGAGCGATCCCACTGTATTTCATGGTAGTAACTTCACGATTACGGACGGATAGAATGTTAGGAGGAGACTTTTACGAAAGCGAGAAAAAGTTCCTTAGAGATTCTAATAGTAATCTACTTTCAACGTTTAGTCATAAGTACGATACTTTCGTGGAAAATATTCCAGAACGCCTATAGGATAGTTTAAATGGAATACAGATGTAATCCATAGAAACGTTAATATTTGAAAAATTTTTAATTTTCCATTTGAACTAGAATAAGATACAGGGATATAATTTGAGAAATTATAATAATCAGATTTTATATCTTTGGATAATAAATACGAAGCATTTTGTATTCTAATCGTGTAAATCGCGCGAGTATACTAACATTAACGCTTAATATTATATAAATAACGGATATACGTTTAATTGTCAACAATTTTATATAACACCTTTTTCATTTTATTAAATGTCAACGTAGTGCGCGAAAATGATGGAAAAAGAAAGAAAGAAGAAGAAGAAGAAGAAAAAGAAGAAGAAGAAGAAGAAGAGGAAGAAGAAGAAGAAGAAGAAGAAGAAGAAGAAGAAGAAGAGAAGAAAAGAAAAAAAAAAGCAGAAAAAAACGAAGAAAGAAAGGTGTCGTCATTCGTTAAAAAATGTGTGTTGCGCGCGCGCGTGTGTGTATATACATATATATTTTATATATATATATATATATATTTAAGTACATACACGTAAAATAGTTTAATTGTATGAGATCGCTTTACAGAAAATCGTAATGTCTTCATTCATTTATATCGTCATTGATCGACGATCAGCAAATGAGAATCATCGCTGTTTAATCAAGTTAAAAACCTATAGGAATATAAGCGTGTAATTTTCAAAAGGAGACGATTATCACATATCAAGCATATTATAACTGATCGTCGATCCTCGTCTAATATATTTAAAATTGTAAATTGTATATATTTAGATAATAAAATCGTTTAATTTTCATTTTATAATTGTACGAAATCAAGGGAATATATATAGATCATGAAAAATAATTGTATTAATCACTTGGCGGTGCAAAGAATTTCACGGTTGACGTGCCACGCACGTCATTTTTCTTTCTGACAACAATCGCCTGACGACGTGTGTAACACGTCGCTGGAGTTCCAGTAACAGAAGCATCTCGACGTGCGTGGCACGAGCTTTTCATCGCAAGTGTTTAAAAAGCTGGCTTATTCTTGCGATCGAATTTAAAGTTAAAAGATTAAACGAGTCTTCCTTTGTTACAATTCATTAAGTTTAATAGGAGTTTTCGATGCATCGTGAAATAATAGTCCGTCGATTAATGAGAATTTATAGTAAATCGCTTCGGCTTACAGAAGTTAGATTAATTATGGCGAAGACGAAAAACACGGAAGACCATCACGCGTATATCGATTTCTTTCTATTCATTTTCATCATTATTATTTCCTTTGAACCTATCACAACCGACACTGTAGAGCAAACGTGCAGGCCTCTTCTTAATCATAATAATCATAATAATAATAATAATAATAATAATAATAATAATAATAATAATAATAATAATAATAATAATAATAATAATAATAATAATAATAATAATAATAATAATAATTATAATATTAATAATAATAATAATTATAATTATAATAATAATAATATATTAAAGTCATTAAGATGAGGAACGCCGTCAATATATATACGACTCGGACACGGAAGACTGCAACGAAGATTCCAGTCGTTTTGTTTGTAAATATATATATATATATATACACATATACATATACATATATATATACACATAAATACATATATATATATATATATATATATATATATATATATATAAATATAAATAATAATAATAAAAAAAAATTAGGATAGTCACATAAATATCTTCGTAGTCAGCTTCTCAATTTCCTCGAGGTATTCGTTCTGATAATGTAACTGAGCTAATTTATTAATCACTCGGGAGTATTTGATCTTTTATCTATTTTTTTTTTCCTTTATCATTTTTTCATTTTTGTTCTCTTTTCGTTTACTTTCAACCTTCCTTCTTCTTCTTCTTCTTCTTTTTCCTTCTCCTTCTCCTCAATAAGATTAATTTTTACAGTTCACAAGAAAACAACGATCGTTGACGTTAACGTCGGTGTTCATCTACGGTGTTGATTCGTAAATAGAATCAAAAACTTATCTAAACTTATCGTACTCGAGTGTCTTCGATGTTTCTCTTTTGTCGACATTTGCCAATGACGTCTTTCTAGGAACGTCCCTTTCAGGACTTGGACTTGGACTAGGCGAGGGACTAGGCGAGGAACTAGGCGATCTTGAACTGTACGAACTATATCTTCCTCTTTTTTGTTTCATCTCCAATTTTCTTTCGTACAAAGGACCACGTATCACTCTCAGTGTACTCTCCAATTCGTATGCACGATCCTTCAATCGATTATACGCATTCAAATCGAGCCCAACCTGTTTCGCCCTTTTGTGTAGTTCTATCAAACGTCGTCTGTTCACTACATCCTGCAGTACGTATTCCTGCACATATACAACGTAATAGATTAAATAATGATTATAGATTTTCTATTTTTTCTTTTTCTTTTCTTTTTTTCTTTTTTTTTTTTTTCCTTCATAAACTATCGTAAAAAATTTTGTATTCGTAAAATAGAAAAATTTTCGTTTACAAACCTGCTGCGTCAATAGGAAATAAATGAACCAACCCACTGCCGTTCCATAAGTAACGAAATAAGTAACAGGTTCCATGATATCCCATGAATATTCCCACCAAGTTAGTCTCGCAAAACCACCGGCGTGCATGGACATCAATACCAACCATATCCATGCATTGAGATTCGCTCTTCTGATAGCTGCGTTCTCCAGCTCCTGCAGCTTCTGTTTCATCGAAGTCAAGAGTATATGTCAGACGTGCATACATATTTATGTGAAATTATGTGAAAGTTCGTGACAGGACATCAAGACTGTAATGCTATGTACATATATATATATATATATATATATATATATATATATCGAAGTATATAACTCAATATCGTTACTTGATAACTTTATCGTATTAGGATGCATCCTCGTAAACTAAACGTTATAATCGCAGTGCATATAGAGCGAAAGATGTTAAGGTAAATAGCTAGTGGCTGGAGCAAACTGAAAAGATAGTACATTATTTTCTTTTTAACTGCGCGCATCAAACGTGAAATGACGTCGGTCTATATATAGAAGTTAAAAAAAAAAAAAAAAAAAAAAAAGAAGAAAAAAAAAAGAAGAAAATGAAAAATACGAGGAAGAAGTAGGTTCGTGAATGAAATGGTTAAATAGAGAGAAAGAGATAGAGAGAAAAAGGGGGAGAGAGAGAAAGAGAGAGAGACTCTAAAAGATCTAAGTGAATTCATGACCCAGAGAAAATGGAAAAGCAACGTAGAATGTTTCAGATCTTTGCTTCGTGATTGGAAAACGAAATTGTTTCTATGGTTTCGATATATATACATATATATGAAAGACCATAGAAATTTTAGTAAAATTACTTGAGAATATTTGTTGAATTGAAAAGTATCATTATACATCTTAAAGATTCTTTATTTTACCTCTTCGTAAGGTTCTAATTCCAATTTGATAGCTTCCAACTCTGCCAAAACTTGTCTCTCCATGTCGGCATGGTACTCACGTACCTGTAGAGTTTCGTAAAGTTGGCCCACCAATATTTGCACGTCCGAAAGCTTCTGCATGTCCTCCTGTATATATTTTAGAAATTCATAAAATAAAAGTGATCCATAATCGGTCTTTAAAAATTCAATAAAACCATAAATACCATAAGAGTATCGTTTACTTACCATGGTATGTTTCTGATATATAGGAGGTTGTACCGTATATTCGGCATCGTTTATTATTAATTTAAAATCATCTTGCAAAAGATTCTCTATGGTGTTGCTCGAACCTATCCGAGTACCGTCTAAAAATATCACATTTGTTTATATATATATATATATATATGTGTGTGTGTGTGTGTGTGTGTGTAAGCTGTTCGTTTGCCAAATCGATTAACTCCATAAAACATAAAAAAGAAAAAAAAAGGAGAAACTTGATGAAATAACATAGATTGCATTTTAAATATTCACTTTAATATATAAATTCAAATAAATATTGTAGAACGTATAAACTCTCTTCCTGTTGCGTTCAAATAGCATTACTTTAATGATTTACGTTTGAGTACATATTACGAATTAATCGGATTGGCTTTATGAAATAAAATTATTTTTTATTCGATGGACGAAAATTATTTTGTCACTCAATAGTAATAAATTACTGGAAATTTATTTGTGAATATAAAAGGTGAGGATTCCATCGAGTGCTTTGACACACAAAAAAAAAACAAAAAAAAAGCAACAAAAAAAAATTCAAAAAATTGAATTGATCAATCGATTGAATGTACTTCTTAATGATCGAATGTACTTCTTAAATATAATTATTATTTATTATCATAGATATTATTTTTCGATGATATTTAAAGGATCGATGTATATATATATATATATATATATATATATATATATATATATATGTATATATATATGATCTTACCTATTGTCGTAACGATCGCTCGATCAACACCACGATCCTCGAATTTGATCATATCGAGGAAATCACCGACGGTACACGTTATTGGCTTCAATGTGAATACGCAGAGTTCCTTTCTCGATGGCAGAGGTAAAGTAATATTTGGCAGTCCCCTCTGATATGTCACGGTAACATTCCGAACTGAAAATAAACAAAAGAAAAATCGTATGGGATATTAGAGATCTCTCATTTTTTTATTTCTTTTATTTCTTTTATTTTTTTTTAAATTAATAATCAGAATCAATCGTCCTAAGACGATTAAAAAATCTTATTATTAAGGAAACGATTTATCTTCGAACGATTGAAGAAGATTATCGACAGGAGCTACGCAAAAGTTACACTTTTGTGTGAGCAAATGGAACATGCAAAAAAAAAAAAAAAGAAAAAAAAAAGAAAATATCTCACGCGATTCTTCTACTCGTCTTTTTTCTCTTGTTTTCATTTCTCCTCCTTTCTTTCTACGAATTTCATGTTTTCGATTCGAAAAAAAAACGCAACAAACAACTCCAACAAAAAAAAAAAAAAAGAAAAAAAAAAGAAAAAGAAAGAAAAAAAAAGAAAAGAAAAGAAAAGAAAAAAAAAAAAGAAAAGAAAACAAGTTTTTCTTATTATTTACCATATTTGCGTGGGATATTTTTAAAAGACATTTATAAACAAAAACAAAAAAAGAGGATTTTCATTTAACACATTGAAATTCGTGCAAAAAAAAAAAAAAAAAAAAAAAAAGAAAAGAAAATAAAAAGAAAGAAAAAGAAAGAAAAAAAATGTATCTTTTCCATTTTATTTCCTATTTGTTCGTACTTTTAACAATTTCGTCGTAAATTTTCGAAATGATATATATATATATATATATGAATTAAATACATAAAGTAGAATGAGTGAGTAGACGATATACGACAAGGAGCTTGACACAGATCACAAATAGTTTGATTGACGAGTTCGCGCTTATTCGTTCGCTTGATAACAGGGGAGGGAACATGATCGAGAGCCTGGGGCCGCATTAACCTGGTTAGAAGCCGTTGAAACGACGGAGGAAGGTATCAGAGTGTGGAGAACGGAATGAAACGAACGACCAAATGTACGAGGGGGGTCCAAGAGGAAAGGGTGAAACGTTTCGCTGTAAGCAGAACGGAACTGAGCGTCGATCCGCAAAGTCCTTTTCTCTCTTTCTATCTACGTATAAAAACGTTTCCACGTATATATATATATATATATATATATATATATATATATAAAAAGTATGTATATGTATGTGTATATAGAAAAATATCGTATACGTGCATGTGTTGCTACGTATCATTTCTCTCCCTCTCTGTCTCTCTCTCTCTTTCTTTCTCTCTCTTTCGATGCATCCAGAATTCCTGAACGATTTTCGATCTTCTAACAGAGAAATTCGAGAAAAGAAAAGGTCAGCCAATTTTGACTTGAGAAAAGAAAGATGGTCAATGCCAAACTAAATTCGAACTGCTAAAAGGCCAGAAGAAGTCTTTCTTTCTAGGCTTCGAATTTCTCTTAAAAGTAATTTTAAACCATTTTAAAGATTATCTTTTACAACGTTTTTAAATAACTTTTACATTTTTTTTTTGTTTTTTTTCTTCCCCTTACTACTCAAGATTGGTGTTCATATCAGCCGTAACGTAATATATAAGTAGAATTTCGAGAAACGGACACGATTTCCAATTTGAATTCCATTATCGTTGAATTGATCCTACTAGGATTTCCATGTTCATGAAAGTTAATATTGATATCGACAAGGTATTGGAAAGGAGAGGAAATTACGTTGACATTGCGGAAACGCGACGCGGATCTTTTCATTCTTTCCTCTTCCCCCCTTTACCGCCAATTGTTACAATAGATTTTCTTTTGTAAAATTAAAAAGAAATTTTCTGAATGTTAATAGTACAAATGTATAAATCATTTCCAATAAAAACCATTCGACGTTTCGTTGTCCAGAAAACAAATATAAAACAATTCATATGTAGTACGTATCATATTTGACGAATTGGTCTCTAAAGTTTACCTGTAACAAATCCTAACCATCCATTGAATTTATTTTTTACGTATCCTCTCCAAAAAAAAAAAAAAAAAAAAAAAAGGAAAAAAAAAGAAAAGAAAAACAAACGAAAAAAAGAAGAACAGAACAGAACAAAAAAAAAAAAAAATTCGATCATTTCCAAACTCTCTCAATAAACCTTCGTATTTTTTATCGTGACAAAATTTCTATTTCTCTCTTTATCTCTATCTGTTGGATGCATTGGATCGTAAATAAAGAGAGGAAGAGAAGAGAAGAGAAGAAAAAGAAAAAGAGAGAAAAAAAAAGAAGGTAACGAACTATGTAACGTTATAGTTATATTTCATGTTCGTCTCGCACGGACACCGATATAACTCGAGATCTTACGTCACTCTCATTCTGCAACAATAGTGCGAACGTAATCATTATATCGTCACTTTCTTACAAATAATGTTTGTAAAGATCTTCGAATAATATCGTTTCATTTCTAATCGAATTCCTTTTAATAATGAGACAAAAGTTATATATTAGATTGGAGAAAAAGAAATCCATTATTTTTTTTTTTTTTTTTTTTTTTTTATTTGACCCAAATCAGACAATCCGAAACATGATAAATAAAGAGTCTTGAAGTTCACGCAAAAATAATGGATTTCTTTTT